AATAGACGTACGACGGTGGGTAGAACCCTAAACACTTCACACGTGCACAAAGAGGTCTGAATGGCACCGCATGTAAATGTGTGCCCAGGCATGTGAGCCTAAAGAGGTATGGTTAATTGTTGTGGTATGGGCTTTATCTAGTCACGTTTCTAGAGGAAACTTCACTCATGCATAGTCACGAGTAGCTGGGCACTTTAGAGGAAGAAGAAGAAAAGATAGCAGAAAGAGGGAGGAAGGAGAGAAGAGGAGAGAGAGAGAGAGAGAGAGAGAGGGAGGGAGAACGAGAATGGGAGACAGAGAGGGTGAAAGTAGGGTGTGGAGGAGTGAGAGAGGAGGAAAGGGGAGAAGGAGATGAAACGGGTCGGGATAAAGGAGAGCCGAGGACGGAACAGAATAATCAACGTCGCTCCGAACAATGGCGACCGTAGGTGACAAAGAGCCGTGATAACCGAAGCAGAGCGAACCACCCACCGCCAGCTCTGCTTAATTGTGTTAGCCAGCATTCGATCTAACCGGCCCCATTGTTCGCTGTCGTTCAGCCTCGCCTATGAAGTGGCAAGTAACCCAATTACCGGCAATCGTCAGGTATGCCGCCGCCCTTTACACGGCCAAAGTCACTTATTACAAAACTAACTCCCAAATACGCCGTAGGTTCATACACATACAAAGGCCACTAAAACCTTTCCAAGACTGCGCGGTCGAAATACAGAGAGTATACTTACAACGCCAGAGAACGCGCGTCAGACACGCAACACAACACACATGTACAATGTGTCCTCTATACTGCCGTGTGTGCAGTCAGGCTATTGACAATAGCACATGCATGGAGCAAGGGCGGCAGAAGTTTCTGCCAGCCTAACTGCTGATTTCAGAAACACTCGGCCAAAGTAACAGCTACGAGCTGCTGTTTACCGCCACCTGGTCGCCTGTGGAAATGCACGCTCTAAAATCACTCCGTCTCTACAGATTGCAGACACACCACGTCTCGCGGCAGTCGGCGAAAATGATGCTCTCGCAGATCTCGCCATGTGTGAAATTCTAACGAGTGGATTGTAGTACATTTCCACTTGTACCACCTCTCCATAATACACAGTACAATAGTACACATAACCTATTATACCAAGCAAGGACGAAAAAATAACCACACAAAATTGTAAAACGAGAGACCTAACTCAGTACCGCACAGCGAAGGACAATATATACAACTGAAATATTTTCGGGCCATGAAAAATACAAGAGCAAATGAATACATTTGACCAGTATAGTAAACATATTACATTGCCGTTGAATTTTACCTGCTGATTTCCATTTTTAGGACTCAACTACTGAACTACAAAATCTAAACGGTCAACGAAAGTTATAAAGAATCGATACCCTAGTGAGCTATAGTATAGGATCAATACCCTAGTATAGGATTAACATCAGGTGTAGGTCCAGAGCCACCCAAGACGACAGAGAAGAGAGAGAGAGAGAGAGAAAGGTGAAGGAAGACCTATTGTCGCGGTCTCACGCTCCATTACCTAACTCACAGCACAGACTCTAAGGCTCAGCTAGCAAATACTCTACAGTTATAGTCAGCCGGTCAATGGCTTATGAAGACAATAGAACAACTATAATTGTCACTGCAGCATAAGTACTTGTATATTGCCAATATCACTGCGCCAATACATCGAGGTTCCAGGCTCCCATTATACCCATACATTGAGGTTCCCCATTACATTAGTCACTCACACCACCCGTACAATAGGAAAGATGAAAAGAAGAGGGAGAGAGAGGGGATAAACAGGTTATGCAAACCTGTTTTTAAGGATGGGTGTCAGGCGCGGAAGTAAGTCCTTGATGGGCGGAGTCATCTTTGTCATTCCAATCACATTCACTATTGCCTGCAGCAAAACAACAATCTTATGAATTTGAGAAAAGTTAGGAAATTTTACACTCAGTGAAATGGTAAATTTAGGCTACAAGGTTGATGATAACGCTCATTATTAGGACACACTAATCAGGACAGAGTCAAGTGGTGTCCTGGCAACAAGGTTTAGGACAACACTTAAATTAGGACACTCTAATCAGGACAGAGTTAAGTGGTGTCCTGAAACGTCTCACCTTCAGTCCTCCGAGAATGCTCCCCAGAACTTCGGGGTACTCCTCACCGAGATACTCGTATAAAACAACTCCCAGATGACCCAGCAGCTTCTCCTGCATCATGTGACAGTCATGTGACACTATGATCTATACTTTACAGGGGTACACAGTGGAACTCTTCTCTAAGGACACCTCTCTAATATGCATTTTAACCCCTCAAATACAAGGACACCTCTCTAATATGCATTTTAACCCCTGAAATACAAGGACACCTCACTAATATGTATTTAACCCCTGAAATACAAGGATACCTCACTAATATGGACACTTCCTCCTGTCCAATTAGTGTCCAGATTAGAGGGGTACCGCTGTAAGCATGTACGTACATTGAGGTTAATAGGGGAAAATTGTCAAATTACAACCAAAACTGGTGAAATCAGTGGTTTAGTTAGTACTGCAAGTTACGGATGACCTCACCGTTGAGCGGTGAATTAACGTGGCAACCGAACGACTGTTTGCAGTAGTTATTGCACATTTGTGGTGAAACGTGCGGGAGGAATGTAGTTAGGGAGTTCAGGGGGTGGCAAAACACGGACAGACAAAGTAGAGGGAGAGAATGGCAGTTGAAACGCCAGCGGCAGAGAAAGAGAAAAGGTTTCCCATTTTGCACACACACACACCCACTTCTGTTACACACACATCGCCTTATCCGTAGCGACGCCTCGGGGTGTGTTACCCCCGGCAACGACGACAACAAACACCGACGCCCACTGAGACTGTGTGCCGGGGGGAGAAAGCAGAGGTGGAAAATATCGCTGAGGTCAGTCAGTGCCAGCCACGGTGCGAGGTTGGTGCGAGGTTGGTCCCGAAACATTGCACGGTGTAGCGACGTGTGGTGTTGGGGCTGTGGAGCTGCCTGAAAAGGTTAGTGTAGGCGGCTGGTATGCGGCAAATGACGCCCACATCTCGCATGAAGCCTTAACCACAGGCTAAACTGATAACATATTAATAAAATTCATACCTAGATCATGTGGAAACAAGTCTACTGAAAATTAATAGTCCGCATACATTAATTGGTAATTTTTTCCCAACCAATATTTTACAGCAATTGTGGTGATAGTACTAGGTGATGTAATAATCATATAATTTCTTCAGAGCGTGTAAAAGGTAGCTCCCTTTATAAGGTGGGGTGGGGTCAGACCACATACTAATTTGATCCCAGCGCGCACAGACTTGTCAACAAGTCTGACTCTCTAATTGATATAGGGAGTGAAATGGTAACCACGGTGCCTTTATCTCGAGAATCTTAACACTTAGCCAGCCACCGACACATAAATGTGCCCAGAGATAAGTCCATAAGAATTTATATAGGGGTTATAATACTAGGCGCTAATACTTTATACATCAAATTATGCTTATTTAAGCACATCCCCAAGGCGTCCAAAGGGTTTTAATTGTTGAGAGGAAAGGGAGAGAGAGGAAAGGGAGGGAGGGATAAGGTTGTATTCTGAATGACATCCTTGCAGGGTGGTATTTGTGATGAAACTTGATAAATTGGAACATGCCGAGAACTCGATTGGTCACTTGAGACCACTCGACATGATTGTCGTCGTGGAAACACTTCCTGTTTGCCAACACACCACGCACACGCACACACACACACACACCACGCACACACACACACACACACACACACCCACCCTCCGTCCCATTAGTGTCCTGATTAGAGGGGTTCCACTGAATAACACGGTCTCCATTCAGCCTATGTACCTCAGCTATGCGGCCTACTACAGCAGAGGCAATGGGTCGTGGTGTATGCAGGCAAGTGTCACTGAGGACCATTACCTGTTCAACCAGCCGTGAACAGGTCAGTCTGGTCCAGCAATGGCTCCTTCCTGCCCTGTTATGTAGCTATGTGGGCCCAACAGGTGTTGCTAATATTATTCCGCATTTTTCTACGGAAAGTGCAATCATCTCACGTAGAAATATGTACACGGGTCAGGAGGCAAAGAGAAAGAACCATCTTCTGCCGCGAGTCAATTTCAGACGTCGTAACTTGAAGTCCAGTTCACTATGCATTGATCATCTCAGACATCTAAACCCGCTTGCAACTTTGTCAAAAGTCACAACATGTGTATATAATTATTATCGTGGCCTTAATACAATATCACTGTGATGTCCTAGGAATAAAGTCCCACAAACAGGAAGTGAGAAGCAACATATTTGATTTCCTCCCACAAGGAAGACAAGATACCTCTGCAAAGGGGCTACAAGAAGTGGCGATTGTAAGAAGTCAATCCTTAAGATGCTTCCTATACCTCCACTGAAGTACTGCCGGTGCTACACTCTACCAGATGACACATCATATCAGACGGAGTCACTGGTTCCGAGAAATCAGACGACAGAGGCAAACACGGACACGTGCACTGAAGACCTCTTTAGGTGGTTATATTTATTATTATCATTATGTCATATCTAAGATTAGTCCAATTATGTGGTTATTATTATGACATATCTAAAATTACTACTAATTGTCACTACTGTACGACTGAATTTGGATTCCTTGCAAAAAAACTGGTTAATCCTCTTTTCGTACGTGCACAAGTAAACTGAAATATATACAGTGGAACCCCTCTCTAAGGACACCCCTGAAATTAGGACACCTTTTCTTTCCCCAAGAACAGTTCTTGCATGCAATCCAGCTCGCACACCTCACTAATACGGGGACTTTCTTCTGTCCCGTTGGTGTCGGGATTATAAGGTGACCCTCTCTCTACACACACACACACACCACTCCCATACCCAATTAATCTCCAGCACACGTGTGCCTCGTGCATAGCTAGCTAATCCCCCTTCTCTTCCCTCCCTACCCTGCTCCTTACAAGGGCCACCATTTAGCCCTGCCTAAAAGAATAGAACGATGCTAATAAACCGGCACTCTAGTCCTTCACTAAAATGGCAGTCCCGAGATGCTCTTCACAACTTCATTGGATTACAGACGAATAATAATCATTACAGTCTAGTTATGGCACGTAAGGCGTGGGCATGATGTCATATCGCATCACGGAGCCGGTGCCAAGACCACCGTGGGTAGCAGCTGCGGGATCGGTTGTCACGGCGACCGGGAGCCATTACAGCTGGCAGAGTCACAGGCAATGCCATGTGGTGCAAATGAATGCAGAAGCGGTGCGCGGGACCTCTCCTTACTTGGGGAGGAGAGGTGAACCTGACCTGCGAGCCCAGATACACAGCTAAAGGGAGGGAAACAGTGGCGAAGGTCCAGCTGGCTGTCGAGTAGCTGATCTCTCCTTTACCGGAGAGCATGGCTTGGCAGAGTCCTCGCTACGGGCCTATCGTCACGGCGACCTATGAACCCTCTCATGCCATAGAGACAAACACACCCTCTCCCTTTTACAACGTTTTCTGCGCTAAATAAACCCCCTTACAAAATTCTCTCCCCTTCTTGAGTCATACCCAACAATTTTATGGTGCTCAAGTAAATTCTTGCTACAAACTTCAACTATAAAACTGTCTCCCCTCCCCTTCCCTCCCCTCCTCTCCCCCTCCCTCCCAGCTACTCTCACCTCGTTGCACTCGTGCATGACGGCAGCGATGCGAGAGATGAGATCAGCCGCCTGCTGGCGGACCTTTGCAGCCTTGTTGTTCAGTCTCCAGAGAATGGTGCCGCAGATCTGAGGAAGGTATGGCTTCACCCGCGCACCCAGCGACGTCACGACAACGCCAAACCCGTTCAACATTATCACGTCCTGGAACCAAAGTATCGGAACAGGAAAATGACAGAATGATATTGGAACAGACAGATAATGCCTATTAAAAATACGATATTTAAGAAATACACATTTAAACAAGTGTTTACAACAAGCTGATTACAACTGGGTATGGAAAAGGGAAAAGGCAGAATCATAAATATCAGCTGTACAATATGGGACAGTGCAATAGGGACAGTGCAATATGGGACAGTGCAATATGTTGGAAAAGTTGTTCAAATGAGGGATTAATGTGGTTCAAACAGCTGATGCACACTGTTTATAGTCCTTGATGACAAAAAGGCTGGAAACAGCTGTAATCACCAATTAGCTGCAATAAGCCTGGTTTAATTGGATTGCGGAAGAATCAGCTTACAGCTTATTGCATTTGGCTCTGCTAACACCACTGATGCTGTCACAACCGAATTAACATGTCCAAAACCCAATCTCAGTTTACATAATTCTCAACCATTAGCTAATTACGACCACACGATGCACATCCACAACCCCAAATATTGACGTTTTTACAGCCAAAAACTGGCGGTTGGCATAAGGTTATCTTCCAGGGGGCTCACCACCTCGAGAGAATACCAGTTAAACCCGAAAAACGAGTTTACAGACAGGAGAGTTTCTGAGAAGTGAGCGAGAGCAAGAACTTCCCGCCAATAACCCCGAAAACGATGGCATCTCTCACCTCATTGGTCTGTTCCTGGAATGCGTAGAGAATTCCGTCGATCAACTGTTCTTCGAGTCGAGAGTCGATATCAGCAGCTCCGAGATTACCTAGTACCTGAGGAGAGAGAGAGGGAGGGAGAGATAGAAGGGAGGAAGGGAGAGGAGGGAAGAAGGGAGGGAGGACAGTGGTATGCGAAGAATTCCGAGAATGAGGCATGCAAATGGCTCGAGACATATCATTGCAACTCCCAATACTCACGAGTGCACTCCCCAGTCCTCCAGCTAGCCAGAGGCAGAGGGGTATTCCTGGCAACCACTCTCTTTCTCCGCGACCACATTTCATAACCTACCCTACCTCCCTAGCATGCAGGCACACGCCACACATTGTACGAACATGTAATACATGCCTTTTAGTGAATCTCTAGACTACCTGCCTCTCCCCTCCTCTCTCTCTTGCCAATGTTGGCATGTGGGCTGTGCTGCAGCAGCTTACACAGCAACCGCTTGCAACTTTCAATACGTCCATTTCCGCAGTAACTCAACCGTATTCATGATTCCGAGCACTTAGACCGAAATACCGAATCCTCAGATGTACACGTATAAATGCTGGAGAGTAATCCATCCAGAACTCGAAGCTTTACTCACACAATTAGAGGTTTCTGACAAATTGCTGCCATTCCGACGGCACACTACGTTTGCGTCAACACAAGTGCCGTCCTCATGTAAACGTGTGTGCATCCGGGCAGAGACAATTGGAGAAAAAGCTTAGATAAACCACAATTGGAGAAAGGGGACGGACTCGTGGCTACAAATCCATTCAGCTGGCGGTCCTTTGCACCACATGCTCCGTAGACTGACTGTGTAGTGTAAATACATTATAGGCAAACCGCATGCTCGTTTATACGCAAACGACCACACAAACAGATGTCTCGCCGTGCATATAATTGCTCCCCAAGTAACCAGAGCCACGCAAGGCAGCTGCGTAAAGAGAGTCCGTGTGTCCGCATGTGTTTGGGTACGGTTTGAAGTGGGCCCCCAGCCTGAGCGGAGTCAGGCAGAGAGAGGGTGGTCACTGTTTGTGAACATCACTAACTGGCGGGCTCTAACAGCCACTCTATGCCAAGGGCGGGCGACAGTGGCAGCTGTCATACCCAAACCCCTCGCCAGGTACACGTAACCGAACACTGGTCGTTGCCGGGGGAGACGGGATGGAATGTACACATTGTCATGGGATGGGGCCAAAACCAAGAGACTCCATCTTTTCACCAGACAACTGTTCTCGTCCAGATGAAGAGAAAGGTCAGGGTACAACCACAAGCTTAGTTACCATGGTGACCATTAGGACTAGAGAGAAATAAGCTATTACCCCTCTCCCCCTCCTTTCCGCCTCTCGCCCTGATTCTAATTATAGCCCACCTTCTCAATGCAGTCCATGACCATCTTCCTGTACTGCTCGTTGTCGTCCTTGAGGTCGTTGACAAGGCGACTGACAATCTCGGCCCCGCCCACCTTGTTAGCAATCTCGACAGTCGTGTCCACCAGCTACAGAAGTCACATGACATCACATGACATCATAGTCCAAATATGGGCACACACAACAAACACTGGTCAGAAATATGCAACTGCAATCCAAAAAATCACGGCTAAGTAGGTTGTGTAATTGAAATCTAATACAAGCACGTGTGGTTAAAACTGTAACCACACGTGCTAATTTGAAGCACGTGTGTTTAATCAGTATACCGCAGGAATAATAAACGTATGATTTTTCATACTTGTCTGAAGTTCCTGCGATCGAGGGCCATTCTGTGGGTCCAGAAGTGTCTGAAAAAATGAGGCAAAATCTCTTCCTTGATGTATTGCGGTTCAACTCCATCCGTCATGCAACACTGCTTCACCACCTTTTGAGAGAGAAGAGGGGAGGGAGGAGAGAGAGGAGAGGGGAGAGGAGAGAGAGAGAGAGAGAGAGAGAGAGAGGAAGGAAGGAGGGGTGCAGAGAAGAAAGAGAAAGGTTGTAAGGTTTAACGACTAAAGGAGGGAGTCGGAAAACTAAAGGCGCTGCAGTCTGTGTGTGCGCGACACATGTGCACATGCAAACAGACTGTAAACATGTCACCAAAACAGACTTGGGAAAAGTCAAAACAAGAGGAACACGCCACCAGTTTTTCGCACTGGTGAAAAGTTTCACTCTATGATTGCACTGTATAACATATTGTGTACCTTCAGAACGATTTTCTTCATTTCCTCGTCAGGGGATTGGAATTCTCGTATGAGGATGACCATCACTTCTCGAGTGTAGTAGTTGGCCGATTCGTTGTCCATGAGTGGAATGAGGTAGCCAATGGCCTTGAGGAAGGCAGCTAGCCCCTTGCCTCGGTGAGCACTGCACACAGAGAGAAGGAGGGAGGAAGGGAGGGAGGGAGAGGAGGGAGGGAGGGAGGAGGGAGGAAGAGGAGGGAGAGGAGGGAGGGAGAGGAGGGAGGGAGAGAGAGCAGATAAAGAGTATTCAGATAATGGAACGAGAGGGAGAGGAAGGAGGGAGAGAGAGAGGGAGAGGAAGGGGAGAGAGGGGGAGAGGAAGGAGAGAGAGAGAGGGAGAGGAAGGAGGGAGGAGGAGAGGAAGGAGAGGGAGAGAGAGAGGAAGGAGAGGGAGAGAGAGAGGAAGGAGGGAGGAGGAGAGGAAGGGGAGAGAGGGGGAGAGGAAGGAGAGGGAGAGAGAGAGAGGAAGGAGAGGGAGAGAGAGAGGAAGGAGAGAGAGGGAAACCCACCGGATGCCTTTCCAGAGACGCACGAGGACGGAGTCGAATGCCTCGATGCCGTACGGAGTAGCAGCCTCTGCCAGGGCGGCCAGTGAGAGTGCAGTGATGGTTCGAACCTTCTGCTGCTCGTCCACCAGTCCGTTCTCCACAATCTCCACCAGGCTCTTGAGGTGAGGCAGCACCGCACAACCCATCAGGATGGCTATCTGCTGCACTATCTTGATCCCTGCACACAGCAAATAGGCTCATTAGTAATGTTACTATATACTTGCCACTTCTAATCCGGGTAACAAACACACAAACACACACACACAGATTGTCTCCATCTCTTCTATGTGCATGCAGCGATTGAACCTTGCACTTTTTAAACATCAACTTCCCCCTTCAATTTATTGGCTCTCTTTACTTCCCTGACCCCTCCCTCCCTCCTCTCCCACCCTCCCTCCTCTCCCTCCCTCCACTCATTTCCTTTAACCCTCTTCCCTCTCCCCTCCCCTCTCCTCACCAGTGTGTCTGGCTTGCCACGACTTCTTGCTGTGGCAGACGGCCTTCAGAAAAGGTAGCAGGGACGGGATCCCGAGAGCAGAAGCCACGACTGCAAATGCCCGAGCGGTCGTGTTTCTCACGTATTCGTCCATGTTATCAATGTCGGGTCTCATCGTGGAGATCATGGTCGCCAGTCCAGCTGCTTTGGCGAGATTCGAAATAATTTCCCTCCCTTCCACGCGAGCGTAGTAATCCTCGTCAATCAACAGGGGCTCTATCACCACCAGGATCTATGATGTCATAGTGATGTAATTAGAATTATATTACGATCACTGCATGATGTCTATATATGGAGTGGAACTGTGTGACAGTATAATATTATAGTGTGTATGTACCTTATGGACATAGGGCCTGACAAGATCATCAAGTTTATAAAGAACTCGATCGATGACTTTGACCAGAAGATGGCGTTCTTGGTCCTCTGGAGTTGGGGAATGGAAACATGGAACACGGAATGGCATCGTGAAACGGGACGTCCCGTCAGTGGATTAGGCACTCACCGAGAGTGGGGGACATGAGGAGGGGGAGGATTTGGTTGAAGAGGGAGTCGGCTCCAAACTCTCTGGCTTTGTCTGTGATCTGTCGCAGTGCAGACTGGGGAGGGAGGGAGGGAGGGTGGGAGGGAGCGTAATGTTTTACTTTATTCCATAATCTTTAACTACATACGGTCGCCAAAAATGCGTTGCTAAGTGGAAGAAGTGGAACTTCCGAACAAAGGGACACTATGGAACCAACGATTATGTCCCTTGTAGAGAGGTTGTCCCTATCTCGGAGGTCAAAAGTATTAGCATGGGAGCATGGGGTTGAAACAAGTGTCCCTTGTAGAGAGGTCGTCCCTATCTCGGAGGTCAAAAGTATTAGCATGGGAGCATGGGGTTGAAACAAGTGTCCCTTGTAGAGAGGTCGTCCCTATCTCGGAGGTCAAAAGTATTAGCATGGGAGCATGGGGTTGAAACAAGTGTCCCTTGTAGAGAGGTCGTCCCTATCTCGGAGGTCAAAAGTATTAGCATGGGAGCATGGGGTTGAAACAAGTGTCCCTTGTAGAGAGGTCGTCCCTATCTCGGAGGTCAAAAGTATTAGCATGGGAGCATGAGGTTGAAACAAGTGTCCCTTGTAGAGAGGTCGTCCCTATCTCGGAGGGTCCCTTATCGGAGGTTCCAAGGTGCCAAACATAAAGAGGGCCGAGGTGCAACTAACTTTCCTCATGGGTGGAGTTCCGTTCTTTATCTTGAGGAGAAGAGTCATGATTCTTCGCTCCTTCTGCTCCTCCGGGCTCAGAGTCTCTTCGTCAACGTTGTCCTACAGGACAAGTTGGGAAATCTCAATACTGTCGTCCTATAGGACACGCTCAGTGGGACACTACTTGAAGAACTTACCAGAAGCTTCTGGAAGTATTGCGCGTCCTCTGCCTTCATGAAGGGCATGTTTTCGCCCGTTGGCTGCATATCATCAACTATCTTCACCTAAAGTTTGGTAGAAAATGTTTTGATTGGTGAATTTTTTGGGGTGCGTGTCTATTTTTTTACCTGGTTGTCTTCCATTTGGAACCGGAATCCGCTCATGCCCATTGGAGTGGGCGTGGCAGTCAGCTTTCGAGCGGGCGTTCTGATTGGTTGATAGCCAGCGGGCGGCTTCAGAATCTGGCGACAAAATTAGAAAACAAACTCACACATGTCGGTATACAACAGGAAACATCAGAATGAGAAAATATTTACTGTTTGTTAGTCGTGTGCGATTCTTTGTAGGTATATAGGGACAACAAACGTACTTGTATTGAGGGATCAACACACTGCGGAGGTTTTCTCAATGATATTGCAATTTGCTAGCGAAACACGAAAGTTTCAATATTTTCATCTTTGTTGTTCCATGGCGAACAGTTGGTATAATAGGTATGTAGGAAGAAGTAACCTTGTATCCGTCCTGGGGGAAGAGGGCGTCCAGCTCCTCGTCAGTCAGCGGTCGGTTTCTCTCATCTAGCTCCTTCTCCCATCTCCACGCCTGCATCTGCTCGGGAGTCATCGCACCCATCTGACCTGGGCTGGGCGTGGCCAGACCCATCGCCATGGCACCTGCAACAACACACAAACAAACGACATCATTCACATTAACTCTCAGATCTTTCACTCTCCATTGCATACCTCCGGGGGTCATTCCTGAGAAATTCGGAGTGTTCCCCCCGACTATGGGGGTTTTAACGATGGGGGTCGAGAGCAGAGGGGTGTGCCCCCCCATCCTCTGGCTGGCGGGGGTCTCGTCCCAGCGAGATCTCTTTTTCTTCCCCCCGTGAGGGGTCGGTGTTTCCGTCACCGATTCCTTGTGGGGGGTCTCAGCCCACCCAGTGTGACTGGGAGTCCCCCCTGTGCAGGTGGGGAAGGGGTTAATGCAGAAATATTCAGTGACGCATACGGTAAAATGTTGGTAAAAGGTGGGAAATTTCAGGGGGAAAAAGCAAAGACTCGCAGCGAAAAGATGAAACTTTGGAGTGAGATGGGGAAAAAGTGAACATTCAGAGAGAGATACGGTAAATGGGAAAAGACAAATTTTTGGAACAAGTAAAGTAAAAAAGAGAGACGTTTGGGGGAAAACTAAAGGTTGATGCAGCATTTCTTCAATTAACGGGGATGGTGTAAAACAACCTTGTATTATGTGTCCTCAAACCCTAGAGAGATGTTCAATAAAGATCATATGTATATACCAGAATCAGCACGAGGAGTTTCATTCCACTTGGGAGTGAGGTCCCAGCGATTCCGTTTCCCGGGCGTGGCGGGCGTGGTATGACCCGGTGTGGCGTGGCCGGGTGTGGCATCCCACTTAATGCGGGTGGAGGGCGTGGCACTGGCCCCGGGGGTCTCGCTTCCCTTCAGATGACCCGGAGTCTCCTCCCAATGGCTGACAGAAGGGGTGGACTGGGGGGAGAGGGAGAGATACGAAAGAGATTAGCAAATTTTCATTGACAAATTTCAATATTTATCGTTAAAAATTACAATGATTGGTGGGCGGGAGCGAGCTAACCTAACGGCGCAATTTTTCTATATAATTATACAACCAACCGTATGTTGTTCATCTGTGCATGCATTTGGATTAGCGCTACTTTTTATGCAGAATGGTTTCAAAATTCGAGAGAGAGAGATGAAGAGGAAAGAGAGCACACACCTCTGCCTGGTCCCAGGCACTCTTCTTTTTAGTCCCGCCCCCCTCTTCATCGTGACTCGGAGTATGCTGATCCCATCTCTTCCTCTTCCTCTCTGGTTTAGCCGCCGCTGTCACCGGCAAATCGCCCTTGGACGCCTTCTTCAGAATTGCCTCCCTCACTTCTCTCTACAGACAAGAGAGAGAGAGAGACGTATACATTTCAAAAATTCTCATTAAGGTCCGTTGTGTGAAAGTAAAAATATATGTCAGCAGTTGCAGGGTTAGTTCATTACCTCATCTTTCTTAAGCTGGGCCTCGGCCATGGCATCTTTGTAGCTCCTGGCTTTGGGGTCAGGCGTTTGGCTTGCTGGAGAGACAGGAGAAAACCGTGAGAGAGAGAGGGGGGAGAGAGGAAAGGAAGAAGAGGAGGAGGAGGAAGAGAAGAGAGAGAGAGTAAAAGCAAGCTTGCTCAATATTTTTACAGCTGCTATAATTACAGTGGACCTAGTGTCGTGTTCCGGAGTTTGGAACCAAGAGTGCAGAATGAGTCACCCAGCGTTCTGACTCAACGGACACAGACACACAAGACTGCGATGTATAATACACAGTTGTGTACTGTACATGCTATGATTGTTCTGCCAACAGAGAGTGTGCTGTAAATAGAATCAGTGACGCTCTCGATCGAGTGTTGTCGACATCGGTGTTGCCACGGCAACCAGTCAGGGTTACAAAATGGGCGTGGCTTTCTGTCCTGCAATATAACAAGTGGACTGTATTAGCAAACACCCCCCCCTCCCACCCTCCCCTCTCCTCACACTCCCTTTCCTCCTCACGGTCGAGATGTGTACGTACCCGGGTCATGTGACAGAGTGCCGGGATCACATGACCTCATGTGACAGACCATGCACCTTACCAACACATGGCAGTTGCTTGGCAACATCAGGACAGGGGAGAGAGAGAAGCACCAATCAGAACACTCTCAAAAAGACATGTACACACTCTTCCGTTCTTTCACGCAGACAGTTATACACAGAGGCTTTACTTATTGATTATAGTTAGGAGGAGAAGTACAGTATGTAGTTGTTACAAGGCAGAGCTCTTATGGGAGATTTGCCCATTCAACCCCACCACACACCTTTCTCCTTATCAAAACTGCGTACGTGTCACAGTGAAAACTCGAAGAAAACCTTGTGCCGAGAGACACTCATGAGTGTGGAATTTATATTGAATTTATGCGTCACAGAAATGTATCAAAAACCATTTGCACAGGCAATAAATGAGAAATCGTTTTAACTTACCATCCCATAGACACCGGTAAAACAAGAGAAAAGGGCACTAATTGGAGAAGCTTACCAAAAGGGTCGGCTCTAAATGGAGAGTAAAACATGTTCGCCATCTTCCTGCGATGGTAGTCGTCATGACGATCTATGATTTTCGGTCTGCGAGTGTCCGCAAATGGGTCTGATGCCTATTATAAAAAAATTGGACAATTTTTTGTAGATGAAAATTTTTTTTCACACGACTATTTTTACCTGTTCGTTGTGTGGAATATCAGCCATGACATCACTGGGGGCGTGGTAGGTGGCACGCGCAGGGGGCGGGCCAATCCCCATGTCTTCCTCCGCCTCCTACAACAAATACGAGGCAATTCTATTTATAGCCCACTCAAGTTCAGACAAGTGTCAGCTGTAAAAATATTGTGGGTTTGTAAGTAAATACACTGCCTGAGTGAAAATGTTTTTCGAGGGCTAAACATACTGTCTGTATCTTATAGCGGAGTGACTCACATCTTCATCCTCGTTGGCCGGAATGGAGGTGACGTAACCAGATTTGTCCCCCGACGTGTAGACGTTCATGTCGAAGTGGCCGAGAGAGTTGAGTCCCACTTTGTCGTTGGTTCCATTCCCCGCCCCCTCTTCCGCCACACCGGCGCGTCTTCGTGCCTGAATCTCCTCGATCTGGGCTTCGATATCTGCAGAGGAAGGTCACGTTTTTTGCGTTTTTGCTACTCTTAAACCTCGAATTTAGCTACCCCCAACTTACCTTCGTGTGTGGCAGCGAACGCCATGGTAGAGATCTTCGCTTGAATTGCAGGGAAACTCAAGATAACACGAATCCAAGAAACGTTGTGCTTTCGCTGAACCGTCCTCCCTGGGGCTCCAATTGGAGAAATTCGTTGCGCATGCGTTTATTGACGGTAGTATCTAGTATATAGTATTACGTGCGCGTGATGGGCGTGTCACGTGGTGAGCAGTGCGCATGCGCGTATTTACTCTTGCTTGGGCATGGGCGGCGTGTGTGGGGGTGTGGGAATCAGTATTGTCGGTCGTCTGTCTCCGTCTCCTTCCAGCTCCGGTGCCAAGAATACCGCAGCAGTCTATCCTGTGTGACCGATAGACGGGAGTAGCGTCGCTAGATCCACGCGCCAGGCTTTGTACGGCCCGAATCGACAGCTGACGTCCCCTCTTTGCATCCTGTCCCCTCCGTCCTTCAACAAAGACGTCGCCGACATGTTAGCCTACACGTACATATGTGTGTAGCGTGTTCGGAATCTTGTACCGTTGTTGTCCGCAGATAGGGGAGCCGACCGACCGCAATAATGGCTCGGTGTTCGCTCAAGAAGATTGTTCTAGTGGCTGTGGCTTCCATTTCTGTGGCGTGGCTCGGCTTTCTCGGCTACAGCTACGCGTTCGCTTTCCGTCAGAAGAGCATTCTCCGCTACAAACTGGAGGAAGAGTTAAAGAGGTATATACAGTCACAGCTCTGACTAAAAATGTACAAAACAGCTTTCAGTGATGTAACTATGATGTAATAGTTACTGGGGGAAAAACTTGGTGCCGGAGACGGAGGAGGAAAAGGAGAAGGAGAAGATGGGGTTCCAGTTGAACGGGTTTAACCAGTTTCGCAGCGACAGGATCGCCCTGAACAGAGAGATCCCGGACACAAGAGACCCCAGGTATTGGGAACCCCTGAATGGGAGAAGTCGAGCGTGTCCTTGATCCAGAGGTGACCCTTATTCAGAGGGAATTATTATACTACACTAATGTATTAGTATGGGGCAGAACCAAGTGTGTTTTATGGATTCCCTAACCCCCCACTCACTCACTCACACACACACCATCTCCCTCCCTCCTCACCCATCTCCCTCCCAGATGTGTGGACAGACGTTATCGCACCGACCTGCCCACTGCATCGGTGGTCATCATATTCCACAACGAGGCGTTCACAGTTCTCCTGCGAACCATCACCTCTGTCCTCGAACGCTCTCCTGAAGAACTTATTCACGAGGTTGTGCTTGTGGACGACTTTAGTGATCACGGTATAATAATATCACCAATTACACTCATATATATATATACTAGTATTATGCATAGGGATTGCACAGTAGTATGAAGTCTAATAAGGGTACCAATGGGACAGGAGAAAATGTCCGAGTTAGTGAGGTGTATATACTTATTGCAGGGGTTAAATTGTGTGGCGAGAGCTGTTTTTGTGAGAAATAAGGTTGAAAGGTGCCTTACACAGCGGGTGTCCGTATTCATGGGTGTCCTGTTGAGAAATAAGGTGGAGTGGTTCCTTATTTAGGGGTGTCCTGTTGAGAAATAAGGTGGAGTGGTTCCTTATTTAGGGGCGTCCTGTTGAGAAATAAGGTGGAGTGGTTCCTTATTCATGGGTGTCCTGTTGAGAAATAAGGTGGAGTGGTTCCTTATTTAGGGGTGTCCTGTTGAGAAATAAGGTGGAGTGGTTCCTTATTTAGGGGTGTCCTGTTGAGAAATAAGGTGGAGTGGTTCCTTATTTAGGGGTGTCCTGTTGAGAAATAAGGTGGAGTGGTTCCTTATTTAGGGGTGTCCTGTTGAGAAATAAGGTGGAGTGGTTCCGTATTCATGGGTGTCCTGTTGAGAAATAAGGTGGAGTGGTTCCTTATTTAGGGGTGTCCTGTTGAGAAATAAGGTGGAGTGGTTCCTTATTTAGGGGTGTCCTGTTGAGAAATAAGGTGGAGTGGTTCCTTATTTAGGGGTGTCCTTAGAGTGGAGTTGTATATATAATTATACACCGGACAACTGTATATGAAAATCCACCAAACGTCTCGTTTTTCAGAGGATCTGAAGAAGAAGTTGGAAGACTGGATTTCCCCTAGCACGAAGATCAAGCTTGTTCGCCACAGCAAGAGGGAGGGACTAATTAGAGCTAGGATTACAGGGGCCAGCGCGGCGACAGGGGACGTACTTGTGTTTCTAGATTCTCACTGCGAGGCCAACATTGGCTGGCTGGAACCTCTCCTGGAGAGAATAAAGGTTTGCAGGGAAGGAGGGAGGGAAGGCGAAATACCGAGAGATTAATTAATGAATAAGGCACATACCAGGACAATGTGTCCACACTTACTCACCGCACAAACATGCATGCTGGTATTCCACTTCATCTTAGCTGGCTGCATATGAAGATAACTTGATACATAGTTTTAATATATTGGTCGTTTGCCTTTGTGTCTCACTCTCCAATTATTACACTGGTATATAGCTACGTATAAACAAACACCTATATATAGGCATCGGTTTTTGCTTAACCCGTAATGAGGTGTACAATAATATAGTAAATAGACAAACTTTGGTATGATAAACCAACAGTAGCGTGTTATTGATGTTCTAATACCTTCTTGTTACCCTTTAAGAGAGGGAGAGAGAGTTATTTTAAATCCTTTTTGTTCCCAGATAAACAGCAGCAACGTGGTGTGTCCAGTCATCGACGTCATAAGTTGGGAGAAGTTGGAATACTCCACCATCCGAGGCCCACCCGGGAGTGAGGGGAGGGTTCAACTGGGGTCTCCAGTTCAAATGGAAGAAGATCCCAGACTACGAGCAGGAGAGGAGAGATCACGATGAGACGAGGTAAAGAGGGAGGAGGATGGGAAACAAGACCCACATTATGATTGTCTGCTACTGTACACCTGCTTTCATTTTACAGGGACAAGAGCTCACCCTTTGGTTATGTACACATGTGACAAACAGCAATCTCAATATATTAAGCCGCAACAAGTTGCCAGAAATAGAACTGCCTTCTATATTATAACATTGTGCAAGAGAACTAGGCGACTTGCTAGCATACACCAGGCCTCGTGTGCGCTCGCCTTTAGTTACGTTGCCAATGGCAATAGAGAGCCGGCCTTTATCGGCTACTTCACTAACAAGTCACATGCAGTGATAAATCAATCCGCCTCTATCACCTCGTGTGGTGTTTGTCAACACTCGACAATCATACACTTTGTTTTGCATATGTGTACACACGGAACTGAAGTGAGTAAACATTAAATCTGTCCTCTCTCCCTCCCCCTCCCCTCCCTCACTCCTGTATTAGGGAGGTGAAATCGCCGACAATGGCTGGAGGACTGTTTGCCATAGATAGAAAGTACTTCTATCACATCGGAGCCTATGATATGGGCATGAGTATCTGGGGTGGAGAAAATCTCGAGATCTCTTTCAGAGTATGATTCTATGTAATTATACCGACTAAATATTGCACCTTGACTGGGCAGGGCGAGCTCTCACTCTAGCAACATTTCGTGTCGTTTGAGAATATCCATGACATTATGCATTAGATAGAGATACCTATACTTTAGTTAGCGTTAGAGCATTCAGATTGTGGTTCTCCACATGTTCATAATTGCAGTCCAATTTTTTCTCTTCTTTTTTTATTTCTCTATTTTTCTCTGTCTGTCTGAGAATTTCGTGAGCTGTTTAGTTTTCATATAAATACAAGGTTTTCCTGTGTTTCTGAAGGTCTGGATGTGTGGAGGGCAGCTGGAGATCATACCCTGCTCCAGAGTTGGTCACATCTTTAGGAAAAGACAGCCCTACACCTTCCCTGGTGGAGTGGACAAGATTCTCGTCAAGAACAACATGAGACTGGCTGAGGTCTGGATGGGTGAGTAATACCCTCCTCTCCTCTCTCTCTCTACCTACCTATTCTCCTTTTTCTCTAAATATACCTTCTTTAAATATACTTTCTACTTTCTTTAAATATGCGTATATACGTCACAATTATTGCAAATGTACACAACTTATGGTTGAAGACGTCTCATTGTGGAAAAGTCACAAATTTCACGATGTTTGAGAGAATTTTAGAGACTTATTATGTGAAAGTTAGGATGATCGATTACGTCGTTGGTTGCAACTTCCTTTAATTTCCTGTCATACTTTACTTATGACTCATATATGTACAGACGAATACAAAGAGCACTATTACGCCAAGAGGCCAGGGATTGAGAAGAGAGACTACGGGGATACCTCGGAGAGAGTGGAGCTGCGGAAAAAACTGCAGTGCAAGTCGTTTGACTGGTTTCTGAAACACGTTTACCCCGAGTTGCCCCTCCCCAACGAGAACCTCTGGCACGGTGGAGCAGTGAGTTTCAGTCTCTCTCTCTCTCTGCTCTCCTCTCCCTCAGGCTACATATATGTGTAGGTTTAGAATAAAAATGCTTGCAATGTTGCAAAGAAAATGGATTCTATTTATCCTCATGACGTGGCACACGGCATATGCTGCATGCATTGCATTGCTAGCCTATTATTTAGAACCCAACTTCACTCACTGATGTCCTCTTAATCTGTGTGCAGCTCCACAATCCCCATTCCAGACTCTGTCTTGATACGTATGGACACAGAGAGGGCGGGGAAGTTGGTCTCTACATGTGCCACGGACAAGCAGGCAACCAGGTGGAAAATAATATCACTGTCCCATCAAACCTTACATCTTCCCTCTATTCTATTCTTACCTCTTACCCTCTGCAATACCTAAAATTAGTAACAGCCATATTTGGAAGATTGCTGGAACACAATTTCACTCTCCCGTTTCCTTTGATGCCAGGAGTTTGGGTTCACAGATTTGGGAGAGCTACAATTTGAAGAAGACCTGTGTCTCGATGTTGCCTCGCAGCGTCCTGGTGCCCACATCACAATCCTCAACTGTCACGGACTTGGCGGGAACCAGAGATGGATTTATGACAACAAAGTAAGCCTGCCTTCCTTCCTTCCTATTACCTATCTCACCTTCTTTACTCTGCTCCATGTTATGTCTCTCTCTCTCTCTCTCCCATTTCCCCAACACACAGACTCATGTAATGCAGCACTCTGTCAGCAGGCATTGTCTGGATGTGGGGGAGGGGAAGACAGCTGTCATGAACGTCTGTGTCCCTGGCTCTTCAAGCCAAGAGTGGGTCTTTGCCCGCCATTACGTCCCCAAAAGAAGACTAAAAGAGCCCGAACATAAATGAATTCCTAGCTAATGTGATATTATCATTGTGGTCATTTTTCAGTCCGATCCGGTCACTGTAAATACGCGTACGCGCATGCGCGCGTTGATGTTTGTACCACGTGATCACCTGTTGGATATCACATGACGTGTTCGCGGCTACTTTTATATGCTCGTGCCCCGGGGGCCGGAGGAGAGAGGATAGGAGAGGAAAACGGGCGGATATCGCCAGTTTCTGTGTTTGTGTTTGACCCAGTTCATCTCGAGCCGGTAACAGAGTGCTCCACCAGCGAGGACTGTCTTTCCAACCGTCTCTTTGGCAGCGTTTCGCCTCCTCGCGTGTCGTGAAGTTTTCGCCGTTGAACTCGCGTATCCCACGGGTGAGTGAGTGGTGTGGGTGAGGGTTTAGGTAGCTAGGAGGTGAAGGAGCGGGGTGAGGAGTATAACTTGGACCCTCCGCTCCGTCAGTGAACCGCTAGAGTGGTGATATGATTGGTGTCATGAAACACGAAGAGTCTTAGTCAAAATGAACTAAAAAGAATAGCAGGAGAGAGATAGATAGATAGGACTCTGCTGTGTATCCTTGGGTAGGGCAAAGTAAGGAGAGATTACTGTAATCCCTCATCGTCAAAGTACGTTGACTGGGACTTGTGCAGCCATATGTAAATGTACTGTGGGAACTTGGCTGCCACCGAGCTGCCTTTTCACTCCACGTTTCAGGAGCCCACAGGACTCCCACTCTCTAATGACCGCATTAGTCGAGGGATCCTGGTCGTTAGTAGGCCTGTATGTGTGTGTACACACACATGATATGTGTGTATACAACCACTTCTTATTGGTCTGGCTCTGGGTATATACATGTAAGCTGGTCAAAGATGAAAGAAATATGACACAACACACCAGCTTCCTGTTCCATTTACAGCATGTAGGCTTGTAAGTACCACATCTTGTCACAGTGTCCCTATTTAGACCTTGCTATATACAACACATGGCCCCCCAATAAGATGCAGGCTGTGCATGACCAACTCTTTCTCACCTAGATTTATAAGGAATCTCACCCTCATAGTTTATAAGGAAATCTCGTCCTCTTAGTTTGTCCTTGTCATTAAACATTCCATTATTCTCTTGTAACACAATATTTACTCCGTGCCAACTTAGCACAAGAGGGAAGGTTTGATTAATTAAACAGCGCCTGGAAATTTTCCTAGTTTAGGTCGCTTATTTCGAATGTGGTCTCGTTTGTGTAAAGCTAAATCGTTTTCTCCCAACGTCGACGTCTCTGAAAATGAAATATTACCAGTGCTGTGTTTCTTAGTGAATTAGCGCATTTGGGATTACACGTTCAATTGCTGACTTGCTCGACTGTGTACAAAGTGACGCCTATCTCTGTATATACAATTCGTGAGTATAGTTGTACATGGTATTTTGCCCAGGAATGCGTGTGGACAAAGTTTCTAAGTCAACCAATAGTGGCTCGTACAAATCTCCATGTCGGCTCACACGAGACCAATTTATGTGCGTTTTAACCCGCTCTATTCCATTTAATGCCCACCACAGGTACCAGCGAGTGATTTTCTTATTGTCGGGAGATAGAATTTGGACCCCTCAGAATGCCCCCTCCACCACCCCCGCCCCCCGCAGCCCCACCCCCTCCCACTTTTAATCAGGTATGTGAAAACGCTGCGTCCTGATTACTGACTTGTCCTGATCATGTGATTATTGCCGTGGATACTGTTGCCAGGCCAACATAGAAAAGCCGAAGTTGAACAAGAAGGCGGAGAAGGACAGAGGAAGTCTTTTGAAGGATATTCACAAAGGAGCGCGGTTGAAGAAGGCGGCGACTAATGACAGGAGTGCCCCAGTTTTCGTTGGTGAGGGAGAGAGGAAGAGGGGATGGGGAGAAAGATGAGAGAGGGGGAGGAGGGAGGGAGAAGGAAAAGAGAAGGGGGAGGGTTGGAGGGAGAAGGAAAAGAGGGGAGGGAGGAGGGGGGAAGAGAGGCATTAGAAAGGGGAGGAGGCAAAAGTGAGAGGAACAAAAAAGTGAAGTTAAGAGGAATGGAGACGAGAGAGGAGAGAGAAATGCTGTGTTAACAAACAACACTGCCTATGCAGCTGCCAGTCTCTGCTGTCCACCTGTGCTGTAATTATACTGTACTATACGTTACGTCGCAGTCTGAGGGAGTGGGGGTGCAAACTGAAGGTTTATATGCACTGGTGGAATTCGTATAAAAACATCAACAACAAATGCTTCCCACCACTACCCCGCTTATAAACACATTCACATTTACTCGGTACATGTACCACACTCATACACGTAGACATGTATACTCTCCAATGATGTCATAGAACTGCTAATTCAGATGATGTAATCCCGGATTTATTTCAATGACATCATTGACATTGTCTACGAGGTGTTGCCATGCATCGCTACACGGACCATCTTGGTTCCATTGTATTGTACAAGTCGTTGCCTGTGAGTCGGTCTTGCCTGCGTACATCTGCCATCCATTATCCTCCCATTATGCCTCTCCATTCAAAAGCCCTCTGCCTTGCTTCTTAACTGTCAGTATGTCACCAGCCGTGCCTCAAATCGGGGTAAGGTACCAGAGAGAGAGACTTATATAGCTTGACTGGATGAAGTTTAGTGAATAGTTTTGCAGTTTTACTCACCGTGCTAGCGTCTGCACAGTGCCTGTGTGAGTTTTAGAGGCTGAAACTTGACCGATTGTGTCTGCAAAGTTTTTGAGACGTTGTGCTGCGGAAGTTTTTTGGTTTTCGAGGCTCACATTTGATTGTCTCACAAGAAGTTTCGTTTGAAAGAGAGAGATTTGTACACGGGAGGAAAGAGAGATGTTTAAGGGACCGGTTGTGCCTGTTTATGTGATCCTCTTCAGTGAGTTGAGGGCTAGGAGAGAGAGGAGGAGGAGGAGGGAGACGGAGAAAGGTAGGATCGATGCGTCCACACACATGTACATGCACTCATGCACGCACGCACATTTGGCCAGGAATGCGAAAACATGCCTCGAGCTTCAGTGTGTAGTACGACATAAGAAGTGGGTGTGTTGTTGATTGTGAGTTAAAGTAACCCAGAGGCTGTCTACGAAGGCCCTTGCTGTCGTCTCATTTCTCTCCCCTCTCTCTCTCTCTCTCTCTCGCCCCCCTCTTTCCATTGAATACCTGTGTGAGGTTCATTGTTAGTGCTGCTTTACATCCATCTGTTTATGAGGCTCTCTCTCCAATTCTCTCTCCTCTCCTCCATGTTTTAACACGAAACTTTAAGAGGAAAAAACTTTCTCCTGAATTGCGTGTTTTTTCACGGAACTTTGTGAGAAGGGGCATTTGTATTGTGACCGGCAAACTTTTTCCATGGAATTCTCGTTTGCTAGCGAATCACAAACCTTTTCTGACTAAGTTTCCCGCCACATGGTTTGTTAGAGTAGTGGCTGCATGTCGTCAGTTGTTACTGGCAACGAAACCAGGGAGAACTCCAAATAAGGAAACCAAAGTGAAGGATGCTGATGACTAGCATACAACAGAAGCCAAAGGGAGTGTGTGTATGTGTGAGAGTGAGGAAGAGAGGGAGGAGGTAGGGAGGGGGTTCATAACCCACATTGCCATCAGCTGCTCTTCATATATTATTGGTTGGTATAATGCCGGTCACTGTATATTGTACTGTAGATGTATTACAGGTCGGTGTAATGTTTTGGGTGTACGATGTAATGGGTTGTGGGAGTGTATGATGTAATGGTAGGTCGATATTGTCTATTGTGAGCTGATGATGTAACTGGGCAAAGGTGCTAAATCAGCTCTCTCTGCCTCTTTTACGTCTCTTCCTGTTTTTGCCGCTCGCGTCCTCTTTACGGTCTTCTCCGTTTTCCCTTCAGCTCAGAAGAAGGGACCAGGTGGAGGTGGAGCAATGAGGCCTCCAGGAGGAGGGGGAGGAGGAGGAGGAGGAGGAGGGGGAGGAGGAGGAGGAGGAGGACGGGGTGAGGAGGATTGAGGGTAGTGAGTATTTGATGAGTGAGGAGGAGGAGGACGGGGAGGAGGAGGAGGAGGAGGGGGTGGTCTGTTTGCTGGAGGAATGCCGCAACTGAAGAAAGTTGGAGGAGGTGGAGGCGGAGGGAGAGGGCCAGGCAGAGCATCACCAAATACACCAAACCCTCCATCTTCTCCTGCTAATAGTGAGTGACCACGGGAGTTTTCACGAGTTCTGCTACTGTATATATGTATAAATATATGCATCAGTGAGCCACGTTCCAGTGTAGGGTTCTAATGAGAAGGTAATGTTGGTATGATGTAACATTACAAGATGAGTGCTACGGAGCAATTGACGAAACATGTGTCATGTTCGCGAAATGTAGGACATCAATGTATACCACTTAGGACACTGCTAAAACAACCTCTGTGTCTCTCTATTTTCTCTCTCCTGACTGAAGAAGTCCACATAATTCAGGTTGCGAATTGAAAAACCTTTGCTAGTTTCACACTCTCTTCTGAGGACCCCTCAATATCTCTCTCATTTCTTCCTGTCCAGGTGTCAGTAGAGGATTAGGTGGCAATCGACCTTCTCCGGCAGTTGGGAACAGATTTGGTAACCCCAGACCTTCGTCTCCGCCTACAACAAATGGTCCCAGTCATGTCTCGCAGTTCCCCCGCCCGACGCCAGGCGGATTCAATCCGGGCAACAAATCATCCGCCTCCCCCAGCCCGGGCAGGGCCTCCTCCGCCCACCAGAAATGGTCCCCCACCCCCTCCCCCCAGTCGCGGCGGTTCAGTCAGAGGTTCAGCTCTGGGACCGGGCCGCAGTGGCCCCCCACCCCCTCCCCCTACAAGGATCACTCCTGCCCCACCTGCCCCAGGCCCGTCCAGCCCTCCTACTCCTGCTACCCCCACCCCTCCCTCTGTCGAATGTAAACGGAAAAAACAATTACGATTATTCTGAAACGTTTTAATATAAAGTAAGTAGAGAGGGTTGAAGAAGAGGGTAATGAGCGGTGGGACAAAAATGTCAAATTCGTCCACCAAGTGTTTATCTCTCTCACT